CTATACAGGGATGATGGTCTATTAATTCTGAGAAACTGCAAAGCAGAACTACAGAAAAAATAAATTAAAAAATAATTTTAAAAAGACTTTCAAGATCCTAAGATTTTTTCTATAAATAAAATAAAATATTCATTAGGAGACATATTTATTCAGCCTAAAAAAATAGAGAAACCAAATAACAGAAAAATTGAAATTGAAGTCCAAACCGTCGGACATTTTGACTTATAAATGTTACAAAATTAAATCGCAGATCACCTTTTCTTATAGGCATTGTTGTGCTGTTTTTTTTGGTTTTAATTTTAACATACTTAAAAAGTCCCATTCAAATTACCCGAAAAAGACGTGAAATATATATTTTATTTTATAATTTATATAGATCTTTTAAACAGAAGGAATTTGTATATATATTTTTATAATACCATTTAAAATTTTGTTTTTTTTCTTCTATATTTGAAATTTTTCTTTTCCATTTTTTTTATCTTTAATTTAATTTACTACTATTTACCTTTTTAGCTATGATCTTTTCCTACACCAGACAAATTTTTTTAATAAAATCATTTTTTATTTTGACTTTTATTATCATTTGAAAGTTTTAATAATTAAAAAAAATTTTGTCTGTTCAAAATAAGTTAAAATATTTTGTAGCCAATTATTAAAATCTTGAAATATATTTATAGAAAATATATATAATTTAAAAGTTACTTTTAAAGATCTTCGAAATCCATAAAAAACAAAATATTGTTGTGTGTTTTGTTTTGTGTGTAAAACATTTTCATTTTACGTTTTTTCACAGGTCAATCGATTGAAGGAAAAGTCATATAAAATTTCTTCAGATCCAAATGTCTCCAAGTTGCATTTCTTTAAATGAATTCCATCGATAATTGTATTTTACCCATTTTTTCATTGTTTTCAAAGTGTTTTTTATTTTTGTTTTTATATTTGCGGCCATTTTCTAAAATTCTATTAATAATAGGTTTTTAAAAAGGCTGCCACGAATTTTTATATTTCAGAAGATTCTATTGGATCCAGAACAATTTATCCTTTTACAAATTATTTTAACACAATGTTTAATCCATGCATAATTAAAAAAAATACTTTTAGATTCGTTACGATATTTAAAAATTTAAAAAGAAATGGCACTTTTGAATGATGATAAAGCTTCGAATTTTTTTCTTAAACTCAAAGTTGATTCTGATTTTCGCAGAACTTTCACAACCAAAAAAAATTGTTGTTAACATTCTTTTTTAATTCTAATTTTCCACCCGGGAATACTTTTTTAAACATTTTTGTTTTTTTCATGTTCATTTTGTTTAGTTCTTTTCAAACAGAACCTTGTTTGATCCTTTTCTTTTAGACAAAATTCTCATCAATAGGCAAGAAGTGGTATGTAAAAGTTTTCATCAGTTGTTATGAAAAAAGTTTTTCTCTAAAGGCAAGGAAGGGCAAAATATTTTAAAACAAGTGGTTTTTTTTGGAATTTTCGTAAACTTTTGAATCAAATTTCTTGTTATCTCTTTTTAGAATAGCCATTTAAATATTTTGACATTTTTAAAACACAAACCTGATTCTTAGGAAGATTCATTGAAATATATTAATATTAGAAGATGTTATAGAATTTAAAAACACAAATTTAGGCAATAATTTATTTCATCATACGACGACATAAAATTTTGCTCAACAATTGTAAATAAATATTTCATACTAAATAAAAAGGATTTAAAAAAAAAATAATGAAACTCAACAGATTTGAAAAAGGCAATTTTCATGGCTTTATCGGAATTCATTTGAAACAAACTGGCAGAAAAAATCCAGTAATGGTCGGGTAGAATAGCTGTGATTTGAAATGAGATGCTTCCGAAAACGATATTTTTTGGAACAATCAAAAATGTGAGAAAGGTCTTCTAGATGCAGGACGGTGGCAGAAATATCAGAATTCGTGCTCATTTCTTACAATTCTCTCCTGATATTTAGTAAAAGGTTATATGATTAGTTTAACTTTAATAGATTATAATGAAAATAGCTAAAAAAAAATACATAAAATATATATATATATATATATATATATATATATCCGAATGAAGAACTTTCAAAATTATAACATAAAAGTTATAAAATACTTTAAAAAATATCTATTTTGTTTCAAAGTTCTTTCTTTTCAAGGATGGTGTTGAATGTAAAATAAAGGGTTTTAAAGAATTTATCATCAATCAAACATCATTTTGGAGAATAAAAAAAAATTACATAAGAAACATGACCAAATCAAAACATTTTAATAGGAATTCAAATAATCTTGACAAAACTAAGGTTATAATAATTATTTAACGATTTTTTTGTTGGGGTTAATTACTAAAATAAAATTCATTTAACTGATAAATATTAAATTAATATTATCAAATTTAAAAATTACCAATTTTAAATTTTATTTATTTTAAAAAAAAAAATTATACAATTATTTAAAGGAGAAACTGAAGAAAAAATATACATTTTCTATTTTAGTTTTTATTGAAAAAGTTGAATAAACATTAAGTTCTAATGCTTTTCTGAATAAAAACAACCTTTTATATTTGAAGCAAACACATGGGCAAGGAGGATAATTTTATGGAAAAACAAATATTAGATTATAATATAAAAACACAGTATACACTTATATCATAAACACATAAAAAAAACTTTGTTTATATATTGAAAATTTTCAGGAAAAAATAAAAATATATGTCCAAAAGTGCTCAATTAAGAACTTAAAAATATAATAATAATTTAGTTTTATTGTTATGGTCCGGTTCCTTGTACCACGGTGATAGTCCAAGGTAGAACCAATAAAGAAGAACTCGTACACGGATATGGAATAACACAGATATATTACAAACAGGAATATATACAGAGAAGTAGAAAGTGTTAGTACGAACAATCAGGTTTAGTAGGGAGAACAATGTAGTCTCGACCAGTATCACTATTCCAATGTCTTGCAGTAATTGTCTGAACGCGACTCTGTTTCGACTGCCTCTGACTCGACTGACTGACTGACGGACTTCTGACTTCAGACTACTACTTCTCCAGACTTCAGATGAACGGTATTTAGTCCCCCCCCCACGAGGGCATCATGTGGCACAAGGCCGGTTTAACGTGGGATCTCCGAGCCCGTGGGCTCGGCCAAAAAATATGCCCAAAACCCGTATAAACGGGTTCAGGGTCGGTTTACCTCCCGAAAGAGACTCCGCCCTTCGGCGTAGCCTCGTTCGGGTTCCTCCCCGCCCGAAGGCAGAGAGTTCAACCGATCAGCCGGTCAGCCGGTCGTCCGACTTCAACTGAACTCCTTTTTAAAAACTTGATGAGGCAGTATATTAGGCGTTATTTTCGTGGGTCCATTATCCGGATTAACAAAAGATCCCAAAATATGCCCATTTGAACATTTTATATAATTTAAGTTGGGAGGCAGATATTTTATCTCCCAATGAAAAAAATAAGGCATAGCCTCGATCCATTTTCCTGTTTGACAAAGGCAATTGATTTCAACCGTTCAGTGTCGAAAAATTAAAAATCCCCCCCATTGACTTCAGGTTAAATCCTGCTTCCCTTATGAGGTTTTATTTTTATTTTGTCATGGAAAAGTTTTTCTATTATTATTAAAACTTACATTTCAAGAATAAATTTCTTATTTATCGGTTTTAAAAATTATTTCATGGGAATTACTAAAAATATCAGTTTTGTTCAACAAGTATTTGCTTGTTCTTTCTTCTTAATAATCTATTTTTAATTTCTAATTACACACTAAGAAAAGATTTTTAAATGGCTTTACTGTGATTGAAATGATTTGAAAAGCATGCATAATTTATTCTCAAAAATTTCTTTTAAATTTAAAAACTTGTTTTGTTTTTTGTTGCCCTCCAACAGGAGTATTACTGGCTAAGAATTTTTTGTTAAAAATTTAATGACAAAATTGTTAAATCCAAAAAATTTTTTTATTGAGAAAATGAAAAATCATTGCGAATGTGATAATGGAAATAATTTTTAAAAAATTTTATTTGCTCAATAAATTTAAAAAATTTTCTTTTTTTTGAAATGGAGATATTAAAAATATTATTAGTTTAAAATGAAAAAAGAAAAGTTAAAACCCATATATGATTTGAAATTTTGCTTATATTTGATTTATTAGACAAAACATTTTTGAACAAGTATTTTGAAACAATGGCGATTTTTTGGTAATGGTCGATTATAAAAAAACTAGAATTTTAAATGAAAATTTTTGTTTAATGTTATTATGAAAAATTCTTTTTCCAACCAAGTTAGTTTGGGCACATTAATGTCATAATTGGTAAAACATAATAAATTCATCGCCTAGATTATTTGGTAAAAGAAAAAAAAAACTCATTAAGATAATGGCTCCTGTTAAAATCATTAAATATATACATATTTATATATATGAAATCTATTTACAAAACATTTTTTCCTGTATATAAATTCAATATTTGAACATCAAGTTGTCTCTCTTTATAAAATTAAAACTCCCAATTAAATCAGTCGGAGAATTTCATTAAAGAGTTTTTTTTAAGAAATTGGTAAAATGTTTTTAGATTTATGAATAAAATTTAATACTCAAACTCGATTCGATTTATTGAAGGAGGAGAGCGCCAAGATTAAGAAGCAAGGAGATGGTTTATAAGGACCCCGTTTCCTTTTTTTGAGAGCTCAATCAAATAAATTTTTCATAGAAAATTAAAAAATTTCCTTGGATAAAAAGATTATTTTTATTACTGTTTCTTTTTAAATAAAAGGCCAGATTAACAATATTTATCGGTAGAGAGTTTATTTTTTTAGTTTCGTGTAACCAATTGGTAAAATTCCTTTAATATACAAATCTAATTCAACAAATAAATAGGTCTTTAATTATGGCGTTTAAAAAACAAAAAAACAAAACTTAAATGATTTAAAAATGTAAAATGATTCAAAAGTTAAATTTCACAATTTCAAAAGAAGATAGTAGATTTATGAAATTTCCGTCAATGTTTGTCAATTTTCTATTTTGTTTAATTTTTTTTCTTTTTGCCCAAGTAAAAATTAAAAAATTTTATTTTGAATAAATCTTTTTATGGTTAAAATTTTGTAAAATTTAAAAAATGCAACTCTTTTTTAAAAATTTTCTGTTTTTATTTCCTATTTCATTTTTAAAGAAGTTCGACCCCTTCAGTGTTCAACGATTATTACATCATATATTATATCAAATATTTTTTAACATTTAGTGTGGCTTTGAATAGTATTTTAAAAATAAAGGGTTTAATTAAAAAAATATCGTCAAATAAAAATTTTGGAATTAAAATTTTGCAAAATAATTCAGTAAATTATTATTCTGCAAAATTTGTTGATTTGTACGGAAATTCAGGCAATAATAAAAAATGCATTTTAAAATTCTTATTTGAAAAAGCATATTTAAAAGTTCTTCAATGACGTTTTAACATTAACGACTTCACTGATTTTTTTTTTTATTTTTATTTCCAAGTATATTTATCAAATAGATTTCAAATATATTTTATTCCATTCCTGTTTTGTTAGAATTTTTGGTTTTGTAAAAAATGTTCTTTCTTAATAGTTTTAAACAAATGTTTTTTTAAGTTTCTTTGCACAATTTTATTTCCATAGATGCCAAAATTTTGGTAATAAAACTTCTTTACCTTCCGTAGTTTTTTTACGTGAATTGCATACAATGTTTTTTGGTTTGAAATTTTTTTATGTAAAATTTTTTTTTATTTTTTTTTTTTGTTGATTGAATTTAACATCTTAAATTTCATCAAAACATTAAAATCTTTCATAATTTTGAAAAGTAAAATAAATAACGGCGACCAAGATATATAATTTAACAAAATGTCTTCAAAATTTATTGTCGTACTTCTTTTCTTATTTGCAATTTAAATTATTAAATTAATAAAATTGTATTTTCCGAATTCAAAAAATTGAATTGCAGATAATATATTTTTTTTATTTTTGTTTGATTTTTAGTATTTTAAAATTTATTTTAATGTATATTTTTATTATTTTTATCTAAATTGGGGAATGAATCTTTTTATCATTAAAAGAATCGATGTATCCGTGCCTGAACTGGTAGTTAGAAAATTATATGTATGCTTCATGGTTTTTTTGAAATGATGGATTTTTGAACTGGTTGGAGAAGGGGCGTTCAGCTGTTAAAAAATAAGAGTTATTTATTATATGTTGATCCTTTTCTTGTATTTTTTCTATTTTTTCTTTTTAATTTTCTATCATATTTTCCCTTCTTTTCATTTTATTTATCCATTTTTTTTTTCCTTCCTTCCTTTTGTTCCTTTTCTCATTCACTTTCATTTTATTTTTTGTTTTTTCATTTTTTATATCGTTTTTCATCTTTCATTCTTTCCATTTTCTTTTTTTCTTCCTTTTTATTTTTCTTTTTTTTTTTTTAATCCCTTTCTTTTCTTTTTTCTTTTTTTTTTTTTTCAAAAGCCCTTCCTTTTTTCTTTTAAAATTCATTCCTTCCTTCCTTTTTTTAATCAAACTTCCTTTCTTTCCTTTCTTTTTTCCTTTCTTTTTTTCCAACTTTTCTTTTTTCTTTTCCTTTTTTTTTTCTTTTTCTTTTTTCCTTTCTTTTTCCTTCCTTTCTTTTTTTTTATTTCCTTTTTTCATTTCTTTTTTCCTTCTTCCTTCCCTTTCCTTTCCTTTTTCCTTTTCCTTCCCTTCCTTTTTTCTTTCTCCTTTTTTTTTTTTCCTTCCTTCCTTTTTTTTCTTTCTTCCTTCCTTTCTTTCCTTTTTTCCTTTTTTTTTTTTTTCTTTTTTTTTATCCCTCCTTTTTCATTTTTTCCTTTCTTTTCCTTTCCTTCCTTCCTTTTTTTCTTTTTTTCTTTCTTTTCCTTCCTTCTTTTCCTTTCTTCCTTTTTCTTTTTCATTTTTTCCTTTTTTCTTCCTTTTTTCTTTCCTTTCTTTCCTTTCTTCCTTCCTTTCTTCTTTTTTTCCTTTCCTTCTTTCTTCTTTTCTTCCTTTTTTTTTTCTTTTTTTTCTTTCTTTTTTCTTCATTTTTTTTCCTTCTTTTTCCTTCCTTCCTTCCTTCTTCCTTCCTTCCTTCCTTTCTTTCCTTCCTTTTTTCTTCTTTCTTTTTTCCTTTTTCCTTCCTTTCTTCCTTTCCTTCCTTCCTTTTTTTTTTTTTTCTTTCTTTTTCCTTTCTTTTTTCTTTTCTTTTTTCTTTCCTTCCTTCCTTTTTCTTTCTTCCTTTCTTCCTTTTCCCTTCTTTCCTTCCTTCCTTTCTTCCTTCCTTCCTTTTTCCTTTCTTCCTTCCTTTCTTTCTTTTCTTTTTTTTCTTTTCTTTCTTTTCCTTTCTTTTTTCCTTTCTTTTTTTTCTTTTTCGTTTTTCCTTTTCCTTTTTCCTTTCTTCCCTTCCTTCGTTCTTTCGTTCGTTCTTCGTTTTCGTTCCTTCCTTCCTTCCTTCCTTTCTTTCTTTGTTTCAAACAGCATCTCAGATATATATTTTCTTCCGTCTTTCTTTTATTTATCTGAGGTAAGACAGGTATTAAAACCAAAAAGGAATAGAAAAGAAAAATTACTTTCTTCTAAATCCTGGAACAGAAAACCGTGATGAGGAATAATAACAAGAACGTCATAACAACACTTTGGAACACAGGCCGATAATTATAAAAAGTTTTTTTTTAAAATCTTCATTATTCTGGAGACATTATTCGGGCTTATGGTCATGTAAGCCAAAAATATATAATTTTGATCGGTAACAAGATATGAAATAAAGGCAAAATAAATTATTATATCCATGTACATTGTAAAAAAGAAAACTTTTCTTTCCGTTACAATCTAACAAATAATACGACATAAATTAACATTGAGGTGCAGAAACATTACTTTAAAGAAAAACGATGTTACCAAACTGGATGTAAAGTTTGTTATGAAAACGGGTAAGTTTCTTGAACACCCGTAAGCAAATGCAGAGTATTCTTCATTTACTTGAAAAGGGTAAATGCCCGAAAAGTTACAAAGATAGAAAATCGAATAATAAGAAAATGATACATCTCTTCGAATGAGGCTTTCCGTTTAGCTCTTGGAGCTAGGTCATTGGTTTCTTAGGACGTTCTTTCTTTAGTAACTGGTTGCGGCTGTGGTCCCTGAATCACTGCTAATGAGTCGTTTTTGAATTCAAAGTGTTCACTTTTCCCGAAGGTCAGGGATTTAGGTCAGGAGTGCCAACGTGATCTGAAAGCAGTAATTTTCGACTCCGTCTCGTAAGATTTTCAATTCCTTAAATAGGCATTGCAAAGGCATTTTGACTAGACCTTTATAGAGATGTAACTGGCTGGTGTCGATTTTATTCTGAACCAGGATATTCCCAGAAGGACTGGGTGTTGGTTGACAGACAGAGTCGTGACATAATTAACTCTCAGGGCGCCAGAATGATTTACGTCAATATGCCACCGAAAATATCGACGGAGTCATACGACTCAGTCAGTTATGTGCCATGCGTGATACATGTTTAGGCGATCATGTATACGTATACACAAACTAACGAGGCAGATTTTTTCCCGCAGTAGGTTGCCATTTCTTTCTGTGGTAGACAAGTTGCCATTTAAGGCTACAGAACCCGGTCTGTCCTGCTATTTACCCATAACTGGGGGGGGGATTCATACATTTCCCAAGGTTACAAGTGAATATAATGGATTCAACAGGATTTTTTAACTCAGGTTTCCGATTCCTCAATTTGAGCCGCTATCTATTACTCCACCGTCCGAAAAAAATCGTGATGTCAGAAAAATTTCTTCATAAGAAGCTATGAGCCATGGTATCAAATCCAGAAAATTTCACAAAGATAATATAATTTGAAATCAATAAAAATATTTTTTATACAGGGCGTGACGTACATGTTAAGGAAGGAACAAGGAATATTATATGATCATTAAAAAAGACTCATCTGCAATGAAAGAAAGGTAAGTTGGGGTTATTAAAGCTTTTGAAACGATTAAAATGGTTAAGTTTAATAGTACTTTTTATTTATTTTAAATGATGAATCATGCGCAGGAGCTATGTTTGAACTGCTTTTTTTTCAGTTCTTCTTTTCTACCATTCTTTAATTTTCAGAGAAGTAAATATTAGTTCTTGAAATACATACGGAGACAATCAAATCACATTTTTATCCGTTTATTTGAGTTTAATCGCAGTAAACTGAAACATGTCGATCAAAATTTTAATATTAAAGTGCGCCAAGCATATCAAAATGAAAGAAAATTGTCTGAATTCCAAATTTATTAATCAGCAGTATCAATAGTGGTATTTCACTTCTAAATGAAGGCATGTTAATCCGCCTCGAATAGACATCTTGTCTGCTTTCTCAGGCATGTACGAGTTGCCTCTTCCACCTCATCATCATTGGTGGACCGCTATCCTCTGTGTGATATCTATGTTATACAGCTCCAGAAGATTTTGAGAAGTATCTCCTTCTGCTCCTTCATAGAGTCTGTCAGTATTTAAATGATATCAGATTATTGATTTTAAAAAGTGGGTTGGGCCAAGAATATTTCGCCACCCCTTCATATGTACAGGGTATCCCAAAAATGTATATTCAGTTGAATAGGAACAAATTACTTAACGTACAGGCAATTTATAAATCTACTATTCGTCCGTGCATTGTATACTGATGCCATATCTGGTTTGGTGCCCCTGCTAATAACTCGATATTCTTGACAAAATCCAAAAGAAGGGTCTGTAATGTTATTGGTCCTGACCTGGCAAATCAACTTCAGTCACATTTCCGCCGCCGTGACATGGCTTCCCTCTGTCTTTTCTATAAATAATTGTGGCGGTTGTTCTAATGCGTTCTCCTTCTTAGTACCTCGACCGCGTGAATTTTAGCGTACTACTAGATTGGCTACGAGGTTTCATTGTTTGACTGTTGAAATAGCCAGGTGTAGCGATAAGTTTATTCTAATAGTTTCTTTTCTCGCACTTCTAACCTGTAAAACTCCCTTCCGATTTCTTGCCTTCCTGTCGCCCACACACACACGCACGCACGCACGCACGCACGCACGCACGCGCGCACACACACACACACACACACACACACATATCGAGTTATACTTATTATAATTTGTTGTTTGTTTGTGTGTGTTCTTCTGTTTTCGTTTATATATGGGATCGGATTTCCTACATTTTTCAACCGATTTCAACAAAACTTCACTTTTTTTTTGGCAGGTAGTGTTTCTTATTGTCTTGCAAACTTTTTTTTCTTTATTTTTTACACTCAGAATGCTTTAAAAATTCCATTTACAAGACAATTGTTTATAATAAAATTCTATTCAATCGGTAGACTCCATAACGATTGAAAACAATGTTTTTGTTTGAGTTTGGGTTTGATCAATTCGTAAAAAAACAAAAAAAACAAAGAAAACACACAATTAAGACATGCGTGTCCGTCAACATTAAACAATAATCTTTGTCAATTTTATTTTTCAGTCTTTATGATGGTCGATACTTGATCTATCTCTTACTGATACATCTCCAGGCAATGCCGGGCTCTACTGCTAATCTAAATTAAATTAGAACAGGCTTTACTATTGGGGGAAAAGGAGTAACATTAATCGCGGCACGCGCGACGCAAGAAGACACGGACATACACAATGTTAACGCATTGTGTGCCAAAAATATTAAATTTTAAGCCAATGATAAAAGGATGAAGTAAAGAAAAGGAAATTGCCTTCATGCACATTGCATAACATCAAAACATTTCCTTTCCATTACAACACAACATAACTCAAATTAACCGTGAGGGGTAGAAACACACTTTCAAAAGAAAAACAATATTATCACGTGGATGTACAAAAATCAGGTAAGTTCCTAAACACATGTAAACAAATGCATTAGTATTTGATATTGTTAATTTCATAAAAAGGGTAAATACCCAAAATGTTCCAAAGATATAAAAATGGGATAGTAAAAAAACAATACTTCACTTCGAAAGGGCCTTCGCTTATCTCTATTGTATGCAAGGTTTCTTGGGCCTCAAGGTTTAGTAGCTGGATGTGGCTGTGAATTCGTTGACCCTGGAACCACTGTTATTAGGTCGGGTTTGAATCTGGAATGTTCGCTTCTTCTCAACTAAGCCAGAATTTAGGTCGATAGCCATAATGTGGACTGATGGCATTAATTGGCTCGTGGTGATTTCATCCTGAACCTGGGCATTTTCATAAGGGATCAATGTTGATTAACTCTCAGGCCGTCGGGATGAATCACGTAGGTATGCCGACAAAAATATTGAATGGGGCAAGGTGACTGCTTGTTGCGAGGCCGATAAAATCGTGACATCAGTAAAATTCTATCAATAGAAGATTTAAGTGACGTTTTCTGAATCCGAAAATTCCACAACGGTAATATAGCTTTTGAAATCAATAAAAATATTTGTTATATTAATTTTTGACTGACCTTCGCATATAAAAAATATTCTTTTCTGTTTTCGTTTGTTTTTTATTTGTTAATTTTTAAGAGATAAATATTGATTTTTAATACAAATTCATGTTTGCACAAACTCACATTCGTGAAACAGTTTATAGCTGGCATGACAACTGCTCCTAAATTAATAAATAAGTTGACAAATATTTTAAAAAAAACAAGGATTGTTAAGTCATGTATCAATGTGGTGTATCCTAGTCTTTTTTTTTTAGTAAATACGTTTTTAAGTGACCATTTTTTTTGATATTTCACATAAAAGCTTGTCTGATTAAACAATTAAAACTAAGGTATCATTTTCTTGTTTTCATCCAGTAGGTATTTAAACTATATACAAAACCTCTTTTTCTTATATATGACGTCTTCCTTCAGGACGTGAGTGATTATGGCTTTCAACAACTTCCTATGATTTGTAGCACTTAGCTGTGTTTGTCTTTTTACTAGGGATCCCAATCCCTGTTCTGCAATCTCTTTACTTTTAAAAAGTGGGTACAAATGAAAAAAAGATTAAAAACTGATAAGGTTTTCCATTTCACTGAAGCAGACGTTAAGGGCATAAGAGCGTTAATGCCTCTTCTATGTTCCGTTCTTTCTTTATTTATTTATTTATTCTTTCTTCCTTCTTTCCTTCCTTCCTTCCTTCCTTCCTGCCTTTCTTTCTTTCTTTCTTTCTTTCTTTTTTCTTTCTTCCGTCTTTCTTTCTTTCTCGCACTTATACCAAACAGCATCTCTGATATATATTTTTCTTCCGTCTTTCTGCGCAATCAAAACGAAATAGTCCATTATTTATTTGAGGTAAAGAAGATATTGGGGAAAAATTTATCTATTAAAAAAAAAGTGAGTACAAATGAAAACATTAAAAACTGACAAGGTTTTCCATTTCACTAAAGCAGACGTTGAATGCATGGGAGCATTAATGCCTTTTCTATGTCTCCGTTCCTTCCTTCTTTCTTTTTTCTTTCGTTCGTTCGTTCGTTCGTTCGTTCTTTCTTTCTTTCTTTCTTTCTTTCTTTCTTTCTTTCTTTCTTTCTTTCTTTCTTTCTTGCACTAAAACCAAA